TTTCTGTATCAATTGATATGATCATGTTCTTTTTCTTTGTTTTACTCATATACGTATGAGACATTTTATTTTTAAATTTTGAGTGAAAAGAGCAAAAAGGCAGAGGCGCTGGCAGGACCCCACCCCAGCCCCTGCCTGAGACCAGCCTGGAGCACGCGGGCTCCTGCACAGAACAGTCCGCTGTCCTGTGGCTTCGGAGTCGGATCCAAAATCCTTGTGGCTCAATGGCGGTGGCGGGCTCTCCCCCGCGGCTGGCCGGCGTCTGACCCCGCTCTGCCTCGGCTCCGCCCTATCGCCCCGCCCAGGTGGGAGGAGAAGAAAGGCCCAGCGGCCGCCCCCGGCGCGCAGGACGAGCGCGTGCTGGCGCTGAGGCGCCGGATCGCGGAGAAGGCCGCCGAGCGCCGCGAGCTGGCGGCTGCGCTGCACGTGGCGACGCCTCGGGCCGTGCGCCCCAAGCCCCGGGTGAGCGGGGGCGGGGCGCAGTGGGCCGAACGGCTTGCTGGGGGTGGAAGGGCGGGTCCCGGGTCGGACAGGACCAGGCGGGGTGCGGTGGGGGAGCGGCGACAGGTGCAGTAGTGAGGGAGGAGGGGGAGCCCGAGTGGGAGCGGTACGCCGTGGGTCTGTGCCGGGCGGGGACGCACGCTGGGGAGCCGGGCCGGGTGGGGGAGGCCGGGCGGTTTGCGAGGGAAGGGAGTGTGCGCCTGTGGTGTGCGTGTCAGGTAGGGGGTCGGGCTGTGTCCATGGGGGGGCGCAGTGGAGGGACCGTTATGTGTCCGTGGGAGTCCGGGATGTGCCCGTAGGGGGCGCGATGTCGGTGGGGGACGCGGTGTGCGGTAGGGGGCGCGGTGTCCGTGGCGGGCGCCGCACGCGGTAGGGGGACCCGGGGTGCCTGTGGGGGTCCCAGCTGTCTCCGTAGGGGATCTGATGTGGGGTGGCTTCGCGGTGTCCGTGGGAGACTCTCTCAGTGTGTGGTGAGGAGGGACGTGGTGTCCGGGGGAGGCTCGCTGGGCGTCAGGAACACGGTGTACGGTGGCAGCGCGGTGTCGGTGGGGGACGAGGTTTCAGTGAGGTGAACTGTGTACGGTGGGAGGGTGCGGTGTCCGGAGAGGGCACCAGGTTCGTGGGGCGCGCGGTGTCCGCGCGGGGGACA